CGGGTTGCAATGGTTACAGCCCGCAGCAGCAGCAGCGCAGGGGGACGCCGTGGTGCCTAGCCCGGCCGGGACTCCGCAGCAGCAGTAGGACGACGAGGAGGAGATGCCGCTGTCTCCCAGTCATCCCCTCACCGCGCTCTAGGACGGTGCTCGGGGCTGCCCGGTGAGTCAGCGCTGCTTGGGCTTCCTGCGCTGCGGCGCCCCGGACCTGGGCCCGGCGCGAGGAGTGGCGGGGCTGATCAGGGCCGGGCAGCTGCCTGGAGCCTGGGTTATGCTGGGTTTAGAGGAATGTCCGGGAAGCGGCCTCGTTGGGCCCGCAAAGTAGCTGATTGCTGGGGGAGAGCTTCAGAGAACAAAGTGCCCTCCTGGGGAGGGGGCTGCCCAGAGAACCACCTCAGTGGGAGCCGCAAAATAGCCAGGGTATGAGAGAGATGCCTACCAGAAAACTGTCTCGCTGGGCCCACGACGTAGCTGAGAGATCCCTTGAACAAAGCCCTGGGGATGGGGGAGATGCCTAGAAACCGTTTTCAGTGGGACCCACAAATAGCCAAGGGATGAGGGAGATCCCTCCCAGAGAACTGCCTCGGTGGGGCCTACAAAGTAGCTTCCTAGGGGAGATTTAGACCTTGGACATGACACAGGGAAGTAGGGATGGTGATGGGGTTTCTCTGCCACTTGATGTTGATTTTTGGCTTTCTGGAGGGTTTTTCAGACAGACGTATAGGTGTCTCTGCCAGGCACGCTCACCATTAGTTTTTCTGCACCCATGCTTGCGGGGCTTGAATGAAACCTGGGCTCCACAGGTAGAAAGGAGAGCAAGTTGAGCCACTCGGATTTGTTGGCAAGCATAAGAAGCAGGCCCATGTCTGTTTCTAATTTCTTTTTCTTTTCTTTTCTTTTTTTTAACGTGCTGGCAGAATTTCTGTTCATATTGCATTAAAAGAATGCAGGGAGGAGAGAGAGTAATAGTAGACCAGGCAAGTGGTTTGATTGTTGTTCCTTCTCCTCCCCTTCCCCCCCCCCCTTTTATTACTTCTTGTCTAAAGAACACAGGGTTGAATTGGATTTTAAGGTTCACAAGACAGTGAATGTGTGTAGCTGGGGGGGAAAAAAGTATTTGCTGTTTGAGAAGGGCTTGCCATTGGGTACTACAAGTCAAAAATGAATAGTTTGAGGGAAGAATTTAGTGTTTACAATATTTGGTAGATATTAAAGGTGAATCTGCTGGCTGGTGATGAGAAATAAGCGTAGGTTTCGTTGGCTGCTTTATCTTGCTATGATCAACGCCTCTGCAAACCACAGGATACTCTTTCTTCTATTGTAGATTGTGTCATTCTCTTAAAATTGCATGCTTAAAACAACAAAGGCAGCAACTTCATAGAGAGCTGTCAGGAGCTGTTTTGTAGCCCTCCTATTTATTGGGGAAATATTAGGGAACTGGTTTTATTTTGAAGGTGGGATCTGAAATAAATGCAGGATGTGAAAACTTAAGGCTGTGGAGCTGGTTGCACTTTATCTATGTCTAAGCACCTTAATTGAGTTGAATTGTGATAAGTAAATGTAAAAGTCCTTGTTTTTGGAACTTGCAAGGGCAGTAACAATGAATTCCCAAATTTCTGGAATGGGAAGATGCCAGGCATCTGACTGAGTGGTATAACTAAATTAATAGCATGTAGTTCTGCCAAGCTCTTGGCTGGCGTCTGCGTGGTGTTGTCATGCAAAAAAACAGTCTTTGCTCCCAAGTCATACATTATTTTCAAAATGAAAATGTAAAGATTTCAGTTAATACTGTAAATTCCGACCCAGGGAAGAGGCACTCCCCGTCCCATGCTAAGTACTATCTCAGGATTAGGCCTGTAGCTGTATCCTCTCTCTCTAAACCTGTGGATTGCAGGACATTAGATATGTATAGCAAGGCTTCTACAGGATGTGGGAGTTGGAACTGAGAAGCAACCAGGATTTAGCAATAAATACCAAATCTTAGATAGGACACCAGTTTAAATAGCAATGTTCTTGTATAAAAAAATACAGCTGGGGGAAATATCATATTGCTCTTACGTTGATTTGTTTGGTAATACAGGTCCAATACAATATGCAACCAAATCTTCCAGTATATTTTTCTTTCATCAAGAATATTTGTATTTTATCTTACATGCCCCTCTCTATTTTTGCCAGCATCTGTAGTCCTCCTGCAGATACTGCTTACATGTAAGAAATATCTTAACGTAAAACAAGAATGGCCACAAGAGACAAAATATGTCAAAATAGCTTTGTGTTTTTTTGCTTTTACTATTTTGGAGCTATACAGTTATCTCTTGTCACTGAAAAGTAGTTTAATAAAACATTTGTCAAACAGAACAATATTTTGCTTTTGCTTGTATGAAATAAGTGCAAATGAAGGTGTTCATGTTTCTTGTTTTAAGTATGCAAATATATGTGAAATGTATTGTAAATATAACAAAAGCAGGTCTTTTCCTCAGCTGCAATTCCAGTCACATAAACACAGGTTTCCTCCCCCACAATTGAATATGTATCTGAATAATGATGATTAGCACTTATACAGTGTTACTACTAATCCTCAAACAGCCTAACAAATCATAAGTAGCAAACGCTAACTTTACACTACTGCAAAAAGAGATAGGTAACTAGATGGGGCTGAATAGACTGTTCTGTGGAAGCTGCCCTCAGCATAAATTATTCAGGTAAAGAGACTTAAAGGCCTTTCTCTAACTTGTAGAGGCCCCAGTAATAAAGTTGCTTGTTACTTGTACCTTAATACAATCAGAATGAATGTTCTCTTGTGTTGAGTAATTCTACATTTAAAAAAAAAAAAAAAAAAAAAAGCTGGACATTGAAGAGCTTACCATCCGGCTAAATTTTCCTCCCATTTTAATGAGCATATATTCTAAAGTGATAAAGATCCCACTCTTGCTTTCATGTGAACTCCTCCACTGGTGAAAGGGTTTCCCTTGGCAGGATCACACCACAGAGCAGTGGTTCTCAACCTTTTAGATTCAGGGGCACCCCTTCATAACTGACTTTGAATTTGGTAGCACCCAAGTTGAGAACTTCTGTTGTTCTGCTCACCTTACCTCAGGGCTTCTCTGCCAGGGTGCTGCAACTGCTGCTGCCACCAGGTAAAAGTGCACTAAATGCCTTCTGCACAGTTGGATAAGTCCAGAGCAGGCAAAAGCACCTACTCTTGTTGCAACCCTTCCCAGTCTGGCCCTGCCCATGCTCCTACCAGAAACAAAGGGGTGCAGGGCAGGTAAAGAGCCCCATGCACCTCTTTCTGGGAGACACCATGCAAGGTCAGACCGGGAAGTGCTTCGGAAAGAGTGGGCACTCCTGCCTGCTTTAGGTTGATCAGATACCTGAACACAGGCAGGAACCCGTGGCTATGCTTCAGCTCTTCTTATGCTGCCTGGCTTGGCATCAGGCATGCTGGGCAGTTCCACCTGGCTCTGGCACCCATGCTGCAGCACTCCTGAAACAGTCTTGTGGCGCTGTGGTTGAGTACCACTGCCACAGAGCTTAGTTCAAAGTCTACCAAAGTCAGTCAGAAGACCATCATTGACTTAAATGAGAGTTGTAACAAGTCTTTAGAAAGGCAGTTAGTTACCTTTTGAATAGATTTCAATGTACCCATCTCAAGAGAGACAGTCCTGCTTCCACTGATATCATTGATAACATTCCCATTAATTTTACTGGGAGCTGGATCAGACTCAGAAGAGAAAAGCTTTGGCATGGCTCCACAGCTTGGATGTATGACTTAGAATTAGAAAGAAATTACTATTTCAGGCATGGATCTGACAGGAAGATTTAATGAATGCTTTGCAGGTCAGCTTGTAGGTAGGTCTTTCTCGCATGCAGGTGTCTGTATTTACCAACAGTTGGGTACTAGAGTTTTAGTATCTTAAAATGAAGAGGAGTCAGTGAAACAAGGAGACAAATAAGGTCTTGATACAAAGCACTTACTGGATAAAGTAAACAGCTGGTAAGTGATTATGCTAGCTTGTCACTTTCTGTTGGGCAAGTGAGGTTGGAAAACTGTGTATGTCATAATAAATTAATGTGCGTCGCCTGTTAACTATTAATGAATGCTGCACATCTGCAAATATGGGTAGAACATCTCAAAGAAGTGTTTCCCACCCCTACCTGTTCCTAGGGTAGAGGAAAGTTTGTATTTACAAATAGGGAAGGCAGAACACTTAGTATTGCTATTTTTATTTTGCCTAGGATCCTGCCTATGCTATACAAGTTATGGTAAATAGTAAATAAATAGCTGGTGAGTAGACAGACCTACTCTTTGGCATCAGCATACTTTCATCCCTTCATAAAAGTCAAAAGGAAGAAGGATGGCCTGCCCACTCATAAAGGTGCTAGTGTAGACCCTGGGAGACCCAGGTTCAGTTCTTTGTTCAAGGTCATGTAAGAGGCCAGTGGCAGGGTAAGGCACTAAGTTTCCCTCTGTGGGATCCATGAAAGAAGTGTGCTTATCTTGGGCTGTTACCAGATTAGCATGCTCATCCCGGTCTCTACCGGATAATTTATAATCTGCATTTCCCCTAAACTCAACACCAACAGTATGTTGGATGTGAAGTGAATGGATAAAAGGCAAATTTCAATTTAGCAAATGAGGAAATTTCTCCTAATTGACAATATGCTTCATAAATCTGTAACATTTGTCATAATATAGCTCAGTTCCTTTTAGCATAAGAAACTCCAGTGCTGCTGATATTACAGAGGAAAAAAAATGTTTGTTCTGGTATGTTACCTCATATGTATTCTTCAGTAAACTAAATATATCAGCCCAGAAGGGCACAAAATGTGTATTTGAATAACTCCAGCCATAAAAGGGCATGATATTAACCATAACTGGTCTTAGCAGGTGACATTTTAAAGGAAAAGCTAATGGGAATGCTATAATTTTTAACTAACATGTACTGTAGTTCTGTTTTGAGAGATGGAAGGGAAACTACCTACTGAACTGGATGAGGTTTTGGAAAAAAAATGAATCTTAGATCTGGTCTTGACAGTGTCGTCTTAATTTTGATTATTGTACTTAATATATACGCCTGTTCCTGGGAATACACATGAAAAGGCAGCTCCGAAGTGGCATATCTAAACTTGTCCAGCGTTGTATAAAAAAACCAAACAGAT